ACACTTTGTGCACCACAGCAACTTCATCAGAATAAAGTAGTTATGGTGCCAAGAGGTCCATGGCGCTGGCTTAACTTCAGGGGATAATCTGTTAATGATGTGTTTAACCTTAAAGCCTTCAGTCCACCGCCGAAAGAAAAACAATAAGGAGCCGCAACACCAAAATAAATGTCAAAGAGTTTTATTCCACTAGTGTGGAACCGGCTTGCCGTGGAATGCATGCTATGGAATGCACATTATGTTTCTGTGGCATGCACATTATGGAATACACATTATAGAATACACATTATGGAATGCACATTGTGGAATGCACATTATGTTTCTGTGGCATGCACATTATGGAATACACATTGTAGAATACACATTATAAAATACACATTATGGAATGCACATTGTGGAATGCACATTATGGAATACACATTATAGAATACACATTATGGAGTACACATTATGGAATACACATTATGGAATGCACATTATAGAATGCACATTGTGGAATGCACATTATGTTTCTGTGGCATGCACATTATGGAATACACATTATGGAATGCACATTATGTTTCCACGGAATGCACATTATGGAATGCACATTATGTTTTCGTGGAATACACATTATGGAATGCACATTGTGGAATGCACATTATGTTTCTGTGGCATACACATTATCGAATACACATTATGAAATGCACATTAATTATAGAATACACATTATAGAATACACATTATGGAATGCACATTATGGAATACACATTATCTTTCTGTGGCATACACATTATGGAATGCACATTGTGGAATACACGTTATGGAATACACATTATGGAATGCACATTATGGAATGCACATTGTGGAATGCACATTATGTTTCTGTGGCATGCACATTATGGAATGCACATTGTGGAATACACGTTATGGAATACACATTATGGAATGCACATTATGGAATACACATTATGGAATGCACATTATGGAATACACATTATGGAATGCACATTATGGAATGCACATTATGTTTCTGTGGAATACACATTATAGAATGCACATTGTGAAATCCACGTTATGGAATACACATTATGGAATGCACATTATGTTTTCGTGGAATTCACATTATGGAATGCACATTATGGAATGCACATTATGTTTCCATGGAATGCACATTATGGAATGCACATTATGTTTCTGTGGCATGCACATTATGGAATGCACATTGTGGAATACACGTTATGGAATACACATTATGGAATGCACATTATGGAATACACATTATGGAATGCACATTATGGAATACACATTATGGAATGCACATTATGGAATGCACATTATGTTTCTGTGGAATACACATTATGGAATGCACATTGTGAAATACACGTTATGGAATACACATTATGGAATGCACAATGCACATTATGGAATACACATTATGGAATGCACATTATGGAATACACATTATGGAATGCACATTATGGAATGCACATTATGTTTCTGTGGAATACACATTATGGAATGCACATTGTGAAATACACATTATGGAATACACATTATGGAATGCACATTATGTTTTCGTGGAATTCACATTATGGAATTCACATTATGGAATGCACATTATGGAATGCACATTATGTTTCCATGGAATGCACATTATGGAATGCTCATTATGTTTCTGTGGAATGCACATTATGTTTCTGTGGAATACCTTTTGGGGTATTGTTATTTTTGGTATCAGGATCCTCTTTAATAACATTGTACTATTGTTTGTCCATTATCTGGTATGCAATTCTATATAATTATCTGGATAGTTTTCTATGTTCTTAGCTGGTATTGTGATAGCTATAGTAGTTACCTCTTTGTTGATTTTTTTCTTATGTAATATACTTAGCATGAATATATTTTGCTTTTGAGTAAATTTATGGTTTATTGATAGTGTAGATTTTCTAATAAAGATTGTTGGCCGTTTATATAGCCTGCTGCTGTGTAGTAAATGTGTTTTATTTATGGAACTATCCCTGGAGTAAGACAGGGTATTCACAGTGCTCACCTATTTGGATTATAATCCTTGCATGCCTTGTTTTGAGTGCCCTCCAGTGCATTCATTTGTAATGGTGCACAGCGTGTGCATTTAAGAACAACCAAGGACAATGTGTTTTCTTTTATTAGTAATGCCAAATATAAAAGTACAATGTATAAGAATTAGTTTTACAGGGGAAATACGCAAATATTCCATGTGATTGCACAACTTTTATTAACATGGAATTGAGACAAAATGGGTGCTATTTTACGTTTAAAACTCTAAATATTGATAGACATTCTATTGGGTTCTATATTTTTTTTTCTCCCAGAGTAGAACCTGTTATAGCCTTGATAAATTTCCCCCTATGTGAAGTATTATTAGTACATTAATATATTAACAAAATTAAGGTGCCACATTCACTGCAGTGTTCACAATTGTCATCTATTTCATATTCAGAAATAAAAACTCTGTACAATAAGATATTTGCTTTTTTAAATTAACTCATATTGCTATATTGTTGTGGCTACATTGTATCAACAAATTTGGGAGATAATGTTAATAATTAATGTTAATTTTGTGAATGTTTAATATATATATATATATATATATATATATATATATATATAAAATGTAATAAAATCAGACCCGCCAGCAACAATATTGGCCCTAACTAGATACTTAATTCAATAGTGTGTTATTGGTTATATTCTGCTAAAACTCAGGACCTGCCATTGCTTCCAGCCATTTATTTAACATGCATGTGGCTCTCAACCTATCATGTCCTTTCTAATGAGGGGAAAATCACTGGGCGTTTGCTAGTTTGGATGTTGTTTCAAGGGCAATAATTATACCAGTTATGTGTTTTGTCCCCTTGCAGAAACACTCCAAGCACCATAACCACTACAGCTCACTGCAGTGGTTGTGGTACCTGCCACCCCTCATTGTAAGTAGTCAAACCGGTTTAGAATGTTTTGACTTCTTGCCTGTGATCTGCCAGGTGCTGCTGTCTGCCTCCACTGCTTCCTGTAGAGAGGCGGAGGCTAATGCAGGAATTAATACAGGCAGCTCAGGTCTTAGCTCTTTGGCTCAGAGCGATCAGCTGATGCTCTGCAGGGCTTAGCTGAGGAGCATTAACGGAGGCTCCTACTTAGGAGCTTCTGGCTCTCCGCGGAAAGTAGTGGAGGTGGGGAGCAGCAGCTGGTGGACCCATGTAAGAAGTCAAAGCATTCTAAAATAGTTTGGCACCATAACCACTACAGTGAGCTGTAGTGGTTTTTTTGGTAGGAGTGTTCCTCTAATCTGCATAGTATGGGAAGGAATTTGGGGGTTCTTTCTAGTAATTTGTGCTACCAAAAGAAATTCCAATTACTTCATCCATCGATCCATCTATTATAGCAAATATTTATTCAGAACACAGTCTGTTATATTGGAAATATATCTCGATATTTAGTGGCAGAGATCAAGTGTATGTCTTATGGTTATTCACCAAGCTGAAAGTTGTTGGAAAATTGTTGAAATCACCTATTCTTTTGGATCAACAGCAAAAAACAAATGTGAGGAAGGCTGAACTTGATTGACGCAAGTCTCTTTTCAGCTATGTAACTATGTAACTATGTAACTATTATAGGACAATATAGCAAATGTGGAAAAAAGCGCCAACTTTTTTTTTTAGTTTTGATTGGCTCTCACAGGACAAAACTGATTCACCACAGAGGGCTGTAATGGCTCTCGTACACATTCCCGCTTATTGCAAATAATTAATAATAAATAAAACTGCGCTCCATATCGCAGGGAGAAGGAACAACTGAAAACAATAAAATGGGCACGTTCCGTGTGGAAAATCTTAATGATATTAAAGATTTCGTTCCCATGCCAGACAGATACACTCAGTGCCACGAGTTGTATTTGTAATCACACGGTAAGAACCGTTGTTTAACTAAACTTTTCATCCCCTACTTTTACTTTGCTAATTAACCCTTTGTTTATCAAAATCAAGTGCGTGAAAAGCATTAATAAACTGCAACTCCCATAAATCTAAATTGACAACAATAACACTTGTTATCTCTACATAAACCAATATTTGCAACATGAAAATTTTTTTAATTCCTTTATTACCTCCTGACGATATCTTATTTAGGGAATAACGTGGACAATGTCTCACATGGAGGGATGGGAACATTACTGGAGAGATCTTGCTGACCTACACACCAACGAGATGTTGGCAGTGCCAGTACAGTGATATTTGAAGACTCGTATCTATTCCATTCTCTCCCTCAGGACTGAACGGGCAACTGACAAACCAGCAGGAACCTTATATAATAATAACCTTTTGATTAATTATTTATTTTTGTCAACTCGACGTAACACGAATGTGCCTACTGTCACTGTGTAGAGTCCAACAAGTCTATTTATGTAACGGTAAATGTTAAGTTTACTGTGCAAGAAAACTAAACAGTCCAGGTCTCTTTCTGTTTTATCAAAGTACAAAGTAATTGGGCACTAAGTTTTCTGTGACATTTGAAATGCGTGACAATATTATTGTCCTTAGCCCAACAGAAGGGCTTGATCACCAAACTTGTGTGAATTAACGACAAATGACAAAAGATTTGAACATTGAGGCAAATATTGGAGAATTTACCCAGTTTGTGAAGTTTGTATTCTCCCTGCCAATTTCTGATTGATTTATTATTCCTGGTTTAGCAAAAAATAACCTCAAAATATACTTGATTATTAGTGAGAATTTAAAGATTACATGTTACTTACTGTAAACCTGTCACTCGACACTTATTATTAATGATGAATTTCTCATTACAAATTATTCTATAGCCTGCTGAAATGCTTTATGAGTGAAGAGTGTGTCCTCTGTTGTAATTTCACAAATACATAAATAGTGATGTCCCGAACGGTTCGCCGAACGGTTCGCGAACAGTTCGCCACCAACGGTTCACCACGGACTCATTGTTGAGTAAACTTTGACCCTGTACCGCACAGTCAGCAGACACATTCCAGCCAATCAGCAGCAGACCCTCCCTCCTAGACCCTCCCACCTCCTGGACAGCATCCATTTTACATTCATTGTGAAGCTGCATTCTTAGTGAGCTGTCCAGGAGGTGGAAGGGTCTGGGAGGGAGGGTCTGCTGCTGATTGGCTGGAATGTGTCTGCTGACTGTGAGGTACAGGGTCACAGTTTAGTCAATGATGAGTCCGTGGCGAACCGTTCGCGAACCGTTCGGCGAACCTTTCGGGACATCACTATACATAAATAATTTAAAGCATGCTTACACTGCCGGCATATTTAATAACTATATATATATATATATATATATATTTATTTATTTTCATTTGGGCAGTAGAGTTTCTCTTTAGGCAGGTTGCATTATATAGAGTACTGTTAGTCTGCAAATGCTCAGACTCTGGTCTGTTATACCAGAACTGTTTTTTTTAAACATGTGCAAAATGTGATTGTGTAATGTGGGACCGAAATCAAGAAAGTGTTGGTTAATGTTAAGGTTGAACAGATGGACAGTATATTTCCCCTGATGATATAATAATAATAATAATAATAATAATAATAATAACAACAAAGTATTTAACCAGAAAATGTACATTCAGATTACTCTGGTTTCCAAGTAGATCCTGGGGATGTTACTTTTGCTCAACATCCAGGGGACGTTACTATTACCCAATTTAATGGTATATTGCAAATACATGGATTCTGCGCAAGATAAAGGCATTATGAGAGTTTTGGCCTGGGGATCAATAAATCCGCTTTCTTGAAGATCTTAACACCTTATCTTTAGAGAGAACTGACAATTGTAATATAGGACAACAAAAGGCATCTTACACTGGTCTGAAAATGCAATTACGATCACTTTAAAGTTTTTTTTCTCAGAAAATAAATGGGGTATGAAAATAGCTATACAATCGAAATCTGTAAAACAAATCGTTATACTTACACAGCTGGGATTGTATTTAATCAATAAACCAATATTCAAAGAAAAGCAAACAGCCGTTGGCACTGAAGTCAACAAGGGATATTTCTATGTATCATCTTATCTAGATCTTAGTTAGATTTTTCGAGGTTGGTCTTATCTTCCGGTACTCACAGTAAGTAAAATGAAAGTCTTCTTTCTCCTTAGAGATGTTATTGATTAGAACAACATAAAATATTCACTGTATCTTAATTTAACAATGGCTTGGGGAAAGCGGTTCTATATTTGGAGCAGATGTCATTTACAGTACGTTAAAATGAGTGTATGATCATACATTATTAATGCATTTTTTGTAGCTGAAAAGAGCCATCGGTCTAACTTGTTAAGTATACTTGTCATAAAAAATTATTTAGAAATAGATTTATTGAACAGAATATCAAATTGCAACAGAAGAGTCACAGCAAATGTATGTACAGTGAGGGAAAAAAGTATTTGATCCCCTGCTGATTTTGAACATTTGCCCACTGACAAAGAAATGATCAGTTTATAATTTAAATGGCAGGTGTGTTTTAACAGTGAGAGACAGAATAACAAAAAGAAGAAAAAAATCCAGAAAAAAGCATGTCAAAAAATTAATTTGCATGTTAATGAGTGAAATAAGTATTTGATCCCCAATCAATCAGCAAGATTTCTGGCTCCCAGGTGTCTTTTATACAGGGAACGATCTGAGATTAGGAGCACTCTCTTAAAAGGAGATGAGTATAAGCTCCTGAAAATTATAAGTGCAATTCCTTTCCCTTCATTTACTATCACTTAAGATCTGAACATACTACACTATATCTGTGTCTTTTTCCTTCCCTCCTCCATATCGCTCTGAGCGTGGGAATTCCATCACAGGCGCTGCTCCCTGATCCTACTATTTGCTCCTAATCTCAGCTTGTTACCTGTATAAAAGACACCTGTCCACAGAAGCAATCAATCAATCAGATTCCAAACTCTCCACCATGGCCAAGACCAAAGAGCTGTCCAATGATGTCAGGGACAAAATTGTAGACCTACACAAGGCTGGAATGGGCTACAAGACCATCGCCAAGCAGCTTGGTGAGAAGGTGACAACAGTTGGTGCGATTATTCGTAAATGGAAGAAACACAAAACAACTGTCAATCTCCCTCGGTCTGGTGCTCCGTGCAAAATCTCACCTCATGGAGTTTTAATAATCATGAGAATGGTGAGGAATCAGCCCAGGACTACACGGGAGGATCTTGTTAATGATCTCAAGGCAGCTGGGACCATAGTTACAAAGAAAACAATTGGTGACACACTACGCCTCGAAAGACTGAAATCCTGCAGCGCCCGCAAGGTCACCCTGTCAAGAAAGCACATGTACAGACCCGTCTGAAGTTTGCCAATGAACATCTGAATGATTCAGAGGAGAACTGGGTGAAAGTGTTGTGGTCAGATGAGGCCAAAATCAAGCTCTTTGGCATCAACCCAACTCGCCATGTAATTGCCTATAATGCCAAGAACACCATGCCCACCGTCGAAACATGGAGCTGGAAACATTATGCTTTAGGGTGTTTTTCTAGTAAGGGGACAGGACAACTGCACCACATCAAAGGGACGATAGACGGGGCCATGTACCGTCAAATCTTGGGTGAGAACCTCCTTCCCTCAGCCAGGGCATTGAAAATGGGTCGTGGATGGGTATTCCAGCATGGCATGACCCAAAACACACAGCCAAGGCAACAAAGGAGTGGCTCAAGAAGAAGCACATTAAGGTCCAGTCTTCAGGCCTTAATCCCATAGAAAATCTGTGGATGGTGCTAAAGGTTCGCGTTGCCAAACGTCAACCTCGAAACCTTAATGACATGGAGAGAATCTGCAAAGAGGAGTGGGACAAAATCCCTCCTGAGATGTGTGCAAACCTGGTGGCCAACTACAAAAAACATCTGACCTCTGTGATTGCCAACAAGGGTTTTGCCACCAAGTACTAAGTCGAAAGGGGTCAAATACTTATTTCACTTATTGACATGCAAATCAATTTATAACTTTTTTGACATGCGTTTTTCTGGATTTGTTTTTGTTATTCTGTCTCTTACTGTTAAAATACACCAATAAAATTATAGACTGATCATTTCTTTGTAAGGGGACAAACATTCAAAATCAACAGGGAAACAAATACTTTTTTCCCTCACTGTATATATAAATTAAATTTAATACCTAAGCTGGCAAGCATCATCACCAACAGCTGTACCTCTAGTGGGAGGGAGAGAGTTAACCTAAAGAGGCAAAAATAAAATTGGCTTCATTATTGGGTTTCACTGTTATCCCTCAACTTGGTATCCACAGAATCATCTTGTAAGAGCAAGGTAAGGTAGACAAGGTACTAAACCATACTAGAGCATTTTTAAATTAAAAGAGGAACTGTCATGAAGGCAGGCGACTTTTTTGATACATAAGTAGCTATTGTTTTATTGTGTTTAAATCATCATTGCCTCTGATGCCTTCTAAGCAGACTGTCAAGATTCCAGGGGGTTAAACACTCACCTTTCTCCAGCGCCGGGTGGGGAGGCTGGATTAACCTATTTATATGGCACTTATGATTATAAAAAAATGGGTTAACCCTAGCTGGACCAGGCACCAAGACCACTTCATTAAGCTGAAGTGGTCTGGGTGCCTAGAGTGGTCCTTTAACCAAAAATCAAATGTCGCTCAGAAAAACGTAACAGTTTTTGTTTTTGTTACCTCCATCACGACTAATGTGGGGTGGCAAAGACCATACACTTCCATTATAACATTGATCATTGTATTAATGTATATCGGTGTACCTCCATGCTGATGGCAATCTGTCAACTTAACATTAAAAAACGTACATATGTGGGGGCAAGAGTGACAGTAAGATGATACAATCGCCTAACGTGCACCTTTAACCTAAGTGTCCAAGGATGCCAACCCGGTCCTTGGGGGTTGAAGTGCCCACTCCAGAGCACAACATTCTGTGAGGGGAGAGTGACATTTTTGGGAGAGAACAGCTACACATTTGCTGGTGAATTAGGAAATACAATTTATATACTAAAGCCAGGGGCAGGCAACTTTCGGCACTCCAGATGCTATGGACAACATTTCCCCTGATGCTGAAGGTTCCCAATCCCTACCTGAAGGTAAATTTATTATCCACTGATTACATAATATTAAATTTTAAAGGTTCACTTTGTTTTATTTGGTACTTATAAACTAAAACATGTCAAAGCTTTATTCATTGGTCAGTTAACAGATGAAATGATAAAAAAAACGTAGCAAAACAACATAAAAATAAACTTTTAACTAAGTAAAGCTATCAGCCTCTCTGAAACTTAAAAAGATCCTTATATTGTTATCAGTGGAAGACATTTCATTTTTATATTTAATCTTCACTGACTACAGCAGCTTTGCTTCCTCATAAGCTTCATGCAACCTTCGCAAATAACTAACACCATTTAATCACACTGCACATTTATTAGAAGCTTGTCAATTAAAGCTACAGCGACCTCCGGTGGTGGGACATTAGTACTACAAATAATTTTGTTATTCTTTTATATTCTGTTGTGAAGAGAAAAAAAACCAACTTTGTCGTATATTTGCTACACTAACCACAATAACTGAACTCATTTAATTCACCCTGACAAAATAAGGTTAAAAAAAAAAGTTAAAAAGTAACTGCTACATTTGAGATAAACATATATTTGTAACCAGCTAATGTAGGCAGCTGGGAAAAAAGTGTAGCACAGGTTTAATATAAAAATATATATATATTGCTGTAAATATTTCTATACATCTACTACTTCAAAACGAGACACAGAGGAATGGTCCTTTGGTGATAGAGAAAGCCGTATTTATGCAGGATATCCCTCTAAGTTACCGTACTCACAATGAGGCATCATGTTTTCTTTAACTTGGAATAGAGCTTGGTTTCTAAGCCCAGTTTGTAGAAGTCTCAAGCAATTAGAGGAATAACTGCTGAAAATGCAATTTAAAAATGCACAGCGAAACAGTTTAATATGTGGAAAATATAACTTGCATTAAATGGTTTATCAGTGTTTTTGTCAGAAAGCAGTTGAGCCGTCAGGCAGAAGATGAAAGAAAAAACGAACGAAATAGAACAAAAGAGAACGAAAGAAAAACAAACATTTAAAGCTGAAAACAGCAGAACCTGGGAGTGAAGCTGTATTTGGTAAATATTGGCAGAATTTT